CAAAATATGCCAGGGGCCAGCTAATTGTTTCCATGAAGGGCCAGAAAAGTAAATATTTTTGGCTTCACAGGACACACACCAGTTACTGGACTTTGCTGCTGGGGTGAGAAACACGATACCTACCAATGTGTGTGACTGGACTTGGCCTGTGGGCTCTGCTGTGCCAACCCCTGGGATACACATGTAAACGTATCGACTTGAGCACCTACTGTGTGCCGGGCCCTGGGCAATAAACACATTCCTTATGTTCAGGGAGCTTTGTGTTCCAGAAAGATAAGTACACAGGCCAATATAATCACAATAGTAAAAGTGTGGTGAAAGGAGCAAAGGCGGGGCTGAATTCTAGAGCGATGAGAGCAGGGGCAGAGGTCAGGCTCCCTTCGGAGAGACTGGTCCGCATTGAACATGCCAGGCTCGCAGCGGCGGAAGGAAGGGGTGAAGGTAGAGGTGAGGCTGGAGCTCAGGGAGGGGTGAGTGACGCAGGGGATGGCAGGGACGGCCTGCCAGGTGGCATAGGGCTGCTGGGCCTGGTTAGCTGGATTTTGTTCTATGTGCTATGGAAATGCTGAGAACTTGATTTTCCTCTGGATAAGGGATGGGGCAGAGGGTGGGAACGGCTGACGTGGAGTGTTTTGGAAACAGCAGTGGCCAGAGGGTCGGGTGTAGGCAGTATGGCAAAGGTGAGAAGTTTCTGGAGCCCTGAAGGGGCAGTGGTGGCCTCGATGGAGGGGGCAAGGGGCAGGACAGGCTCCTTTGGGGGTCTTGCCTGCCCTCCCTCCAACCTCCCGGAGGGCAGGTCTCTGCAGAGGGATGGAGGGCCTGTATCTGCGTCCCCTCTCTCCACATCCGCAACCCCACCCTCCAGATAAGGGCCCCTGAGGCCCAGGGGGTGACGTGACCTGCTCAAAGCTGTGCGGCCAGCACACAGCTGACCAGGGACACAGACCGGGGCTGTGCGGCTCTGGGTTTAGGATTTCTAGCTTCTACTGAGCCACAGCTCTCCGGGGACCCACAGAAGACAGGGCTCAGGCTGCAGGAGAGGTCGGATTGGGTTGGTTGCCATCAAAAGCTCCCGTTGGGGCCTCCCTGGGAGCCTGTAGGCAATCTTATACTCACTGCGGCAGCAAGTCCTTCCTGGACACTGTGCAGGGTCCCAGAGGGAAGACAGCAGCCAGAGTCCTACCTCCACACCTTGGCCTGTGTGGCTCCTGACCCCTGTCCAGGTCCTCATCACTCCTTAGGGCCTACTCTCACAGAAGAATGTTCCTGAGGAGGAGAGGTTACAGGAGCTGCATCTGGGTAGACAGTTCTGGAAGATGGGGGGTGCAGACTGGGCAGCTCCAGGGCACAGGGACTCAGCCAGTGCTGGGGGTGCAACGGTGGCCAGCCCGGTGTGACCAAGTCACCCAGCCTCAGACAGACCTATGGCTGGGGCCTGAAGGCTCCCATTGAGGCGGCCTGGGTCCAGGGAGGGTCCTGAGTGGTGGCTGGAGGATGAGCAGGCAGGGGGAGGGGCTGTTTCTTTCTAGAGGACTCCTGTCCCCTTTCACTGGCCACTCTCACCTCTGATACCTGGCAGGAAGTCCCTCCTCTCCCCAGGCCTCAGTTTCTTCTCTGGTCTGATGGGACAGGGGCTCGAAGAATCCTTCCTGCTCTGACATTCACCACCTTGGGCTTCTGTCCTCAGGCTGGAGGTAGACACACTGTTCCCCACACCCGTGCACGCTCACACACATACACACCACCAAGCCAGCCAGAGTGAGCGGCCACTCTTCTTCCAAAAGCACCTTGTTAGAGTCCACACTGGCTGGTCTCTCCCAGGGAGGGTAGAGGAGGAGCCTGGCGGGAAAGCTACAGGGGACAGAGGCTGTGGAGTGAGACCCAGGTTCTGTGGGGGCTGTGTCCTCAGGGCTGGGGCCGGGGCAGAGGGTCCACATGCCGACTGGGCAGTGCTGGCTGGCTTGGTGTTGGGCCAGCTCAACACCAGCTTGGTGTTGGGCCAGGCGCTGCAGGCCCGGGCCCGCGCCCCTGGGCCTTGTGCTTCCCCCCACACGCAGGCTCGGCTGACCCATCGCCTTACCAGGCTTCTCAGGAGCCTGTTGGCCCCAAAGGCTGTATTTCGAGTCAGCTCTCCTGCACTAAGCAGGCGCAGAATGGCAGATATAGAGCCCCTTGCCCAACCCCAGGTCCCACAGGACAGAGTCCTGCCTTCCTTCCCTGGGCTCACCCCTGGGGGTGGAATTATGGTTGGAAGGCTCACTGCAGGACGAGGGCTCCAGCCCCTTATGCTGCCCCATAGTCAGGGATAGGTGCGGCGGGATCCGGCCCAGGGGACCAGCCTCGGCCTGAGGCATGGTCCTGGCTTCACTTCCAACCCCACCAGAGGGCAGTAAGCAAGACTGCCCGTCTGTTCCCCAGCCTGCCACCCTCAACACTTCTGGTCTCTTTTCACACCACCACTCCCCAGTCTAATGAGGAGCAGAGAATAGGGGGGCACACCCAGATGGGACTGGCCTGGAGACCAAAGCTGCAGACCCATCTCCTTGCGCCTCCCTCAGGGAGCCCTCCTGGACTCCGCCTTGTCAAGGACCTCTGGGAAGCCAGGGTACAGGGCTCCTCCCTTCACATACCCCCCAGGGGCCAGACTCAATAACAACTCTGCTCCTTGGTAGCCACTTCGGACTTTATTAACATCAGCAACATCCCCTGCACACAGCCTGTCCACACCCGGGACCCCCTCCCACCCTTGTGACAGCGCCGACAGGTGTGCAGGGGAGGGAGTGCGCATCTGTCCCTCCCTGTCCATGGGGCATCGTGGCCACATGTCACATGAGTGCTGCCCTGGCTCCTGCGGTCACCTTGAGCCTCCACACAAGTTTCTTTCCGGTTCCCCAGATCGACCTATACGCGGGCGCCCTCTTTGTGCACATCTGCCTGGGCTGGAACTTCTACCTCTCCACCATCCTCATGCTCGTCATCACGGCCCTGTACACCATCGCAGGTACATGCCCAGCCAGCGGCGGGCCCGCAGCGAGGGGAGCTTCCCCCCAGCCCGCGCACCGTGTGGTCGGGCAGATGCGTGCCGGAGCCTGAGGGGCTGGCGGGGCTCAGGGGGCCGCCTCCCCGATGGCCCGGCCCAGTGTGGATGGGAAGCTGGCTCTGCGGGCCCAGCTGATGGGTCCCACAGCTCAGCCGCCCGTGAGCGGGCAGGGGACACGTCTGCGGGAAAGCGGTCCCTCCCTCCAGCCTCCTTGTTTCTACCCACAGGAGGCCTGGCTGCTGTGATCTACACAGACGCCCTGCAAACGCTCATCATGGTGGTGGGGGCCATCATCCTGACTGTCAAAGGTGAGGCTGTCTGGGGGCTGGCCTGCCCGGACCCAGGTGCCAGCACTGGGTGGGGGTGGACTCCCAAGGACAAGCCACCAGGCAGTCAGCACCCCCGGACGGTCTCCCCTGGATGACAGAGGCTGCCTGTCCTCTCCGACCGCCAGCACCCAGCTGTGTTTGTCACCAGCTCTGGCCTCAGGTCTGGTGTGGAGCTGACCCAGGAATGCAGGGCCACTGCCCCCGTCCTGGCTCAGGGCTTGATGGTGAGGTGGGGCCGAGGGCAGGTGTGCACACAATCAGGAGACCACAGAGCTGCCTGGGCGCCTGCTCCAACTGTTCAAACTCACGTCCGTAACCCCAAGAAGTGCTGCTACAGCCCGCTGGCCGTGGCAGGGAAGGAGAGAAGAGGGTTTAGACCGGTCGGTGCTACTGGTCTGGTAACCTGGAGGGCTGCCCCAATAGGTAGTGAACTCCCCGTCCCTAGAAGTACACAAGAACTCTCGAGCCTCCTCCAGATGCAGGCTATAGGATCCTGTGGCCAGGCAATCTCGGACCTCTGTACAGTGTTTGTACATTTGCCCCAAGTACTCGCCCGGCCCAGGCTCCAGGTGGTGGTGAGGCAGGGACCCAGGGTCCAGGCAGCAGGCTTCCCGGTTGGGAAAGGCAGGGTCGGGGACAGATGAGACAGAGGGTTTCCTGTATTCAGTCGTCTCTGTATCTGCCTCCTTTCAGACCAGGGGCCTGTGTCCCCAGGAGCCACTGCAGGAGGGGGACCCAGGCAGCCAGGGACAGCCTGGATGGGAGGGGACTGATTGTAGACACAGCAAAAGCCACAGATGGGCCAGGATTTGGCCACACAGGGCCCTGACCCTGAGGTAGACAGAAACAGTGAGGGAGTGAAAGTGGTCTGGTCTCAAGAGAAAAGCCTTCCGGCCTGAGCCCAGCCGGCTGGCCACGTGGCCCTGGTCACTCCCCTGCCCCTGCTGGGACTTGTTTCTGTTCTCAGTGCTACATGACTGCCAGCCATCCTCAGCTTTGCCAAAATCACATCCTTCGGAAGCCTCAGCTCAGGACTTTAACACTTTAGACTCCCCGGAAGGTCCTCAAATGCCAAGAAAGAATACTTGGGCTCCCTTGATTTGACAACCTGAAGCTTGGCAGAGAACCCCTTGCCCGGGGCCAACAGGTATCCAGGGCCAAGAGGACACTGTGGTGTCCAGTGCAAAATGCTCATTTAATAGTATTATTTTAAATACAAATAAAACAGCCATTTGAATTCCCCGATTTTTTAAAACCCTGTACCCTCCATGCCTTTCTAGACACCAGGAAAGGTGAGTGGGAAAAAGTCAAGTTTGATGCATTGGGAAGTGGGGGCCCGGAGTCAGGGCCACCAGCCACCAACCCGTCCCTGTCCCACCCCCTCCAGCTTTTGACCACATCGGCGGGTATGAGCAGCTGGCGGTCGCCTACGCCCAGGCCATCCCATCCAGGATCATCGCCAACACAACCTGCCACGTGCCACGTGCAGATGCCATGCACATGTTCCGAGACCCCTACACAGGGGACCTCCCGTGGACTGGGATGACCTTCGGTTTGACCATCATGGCCACCTGGTACTGGTGCACTGACCAGGTGAGTGTCAATGTCGCCATCCACCCCACCTTCCCGCCTTCTGGGGTGGGCTCTGGTCCGGGCGGTCCATCTGCCAATCCCTGGAGCAGCCCCGCAAACACCTGCTTGGTGAGTCTGGGCTGGGGCAGAGGCCACGGACCGCATGGCCCCAGGCCCAGGGACAGGATGCTAGGGGTCCTTGTGGTCCCGGGGGGCCTGAGGCCTCCGTTTAGAATCAGAGGAGGCCCACTGGCCACTGCCCGTCCTGGCCTTGAGGTGCTTCGACTGGGACAGTTTGGAGTACGGGATTCCAAAAGGACTTGGGTGCTCCTCAGGGACTCTACCATCCGCCTGGGGGCTGGCATTTCGGGCCGGCCTTGGGGTCCCAGGATCTGCCAGCGTGCGGGGCATGGGGCCACCCTTGACCTGCCAGGGGTATGGGCTTGCCACGGCGGGGCCCGCTTTCCTGGCCGAGCTCTGGGCGCCGTCAGCAGCAGGGCGGTACCGCAGGGGTCCCGAGGTCCTCATCGGCCGCAGGAAGCCATCTTTATCCCTTGTCCCCGAGACAGGGACTCTGTAGTGGGGGCTCTGCTGGCCCTAGAGGAGAAAGAGCAGAGACAGTGAGGACACCCCAAGCTGGCACGCCTGGCTTTGCCTCTTGGCCTTGCTGCACACCAGCTGGCGGTCCTCGACAGGTTTGTTTCACTACCTCGTGCCTCAGTTTCCCCATGTCATATGGGAATAATCCCGCCTTTTATGGTTACAGTAAGGGAGGTTTCTGCTGTTCCTGCCCCAGCTTCCTCCATCTGTCAATGGGGTTGGCACCTATATCTGGGCCAGGAGTTCGGGTGAGGGCAGGGGCTGGGTCATCTTCTGGAGTCTGACTCTTGTTCTCCCTGAGCCGTGAACACACCAGGGGACCCCAGACAGACCGCCCCCTCCGAGCAGAAGTTCTGCCTGCCCCAGAAGGCCGGGGGCAGCTCTAGGAAGCACTCTGTGAGGCAAGACACAGCCATCCTGCCTCTGGACCTGCACCCCCAAGGGCCCCACCACCACGGAATGGAGGAGAGCCTTCCCTGTGAGATAGGCCCAGCAGGTAGAACTGGGATCTGCACCCAGAACTGAGTGATGTCCCCCATGGCCATGGCTCCCGCCCAGCGAGCAAAGTGCTCAGTGGGCTCAGCCCTGGCCCAGGGAGGAGGATCGTCTCTGGGCTGTGTCAGTGGGGAGTAATCCAGGTTAGGAGGCTTCAGGAACCCTGAGAGGCTGGGCCTCAGTTTCCCCAGCTATAACATGATGCTCCAAGATTGCTGTCTCCCATGTGGGTCTCTAGGGCACAGATGAGCTGACAGCAGGTGTCTGCCCAGCATCTCGGGAGAGCGGAGCACTCACCCATGCCCCTCCTCTCCAGGACACCTCTCTTTTCCCCACTCAGCATGGGCCTGGTGTGGCACAGGCATTTCGAGGCGGGATGTCAATCAGGAGAGTTTCCCATGAAGGCCAAGTGAGTCAGCACACCGCCTGGCCTCAAGATCAGGGCTGGCTGGGCCCTACTGCCTGGATAGGAAGGTCACACAAGGAGGCCAAGGCAGGCCCCGGCTGACCCCAAGGTGGTCCTGACTACCACCAACATTGGGGCCCCACAGCCTGGCCACAGCCTTACTTCCCTGTCGTCTTCTCGCTCAGGGTCTGCCCGGGGGACGGCCAGGTCCTGGCCCAGCACCCTCACAACGTGGGTGCCTTTGCACCGGATCCTGTGTGTGCCTGGTCCTACTCTGCCCCTCCCTGGTCTCGGTGGCCCTGTCAGAAACGCGGGGAGGCACACGGGCCAGGAGGCCTTCTGGGGTCCTGCCCTCTCCAGCAGCATACCTTCTGGCACCTGCTGCTGCTCCATGTCACAGGGAGTCTCCCTCTTAGGAGGTGAAAGCACCTGCATCAATCACACAGTGGGCACGGTGTTGTGACCACCAGGCCAGCTCAGGACTTTCCCAAAGAGTGGCACTCAGGGAACTCGTAAGCAGCCAAGCATGGGTTTGGCCATCTACACGGCAGCAAGCCCGCGGGTCAGTGGTAGTATCCCAGTTTGCAGATGAGGACCCAGGGGCTCGGGGAGGTTAAGTGGCTGAGCACGAGGAGTGAGTGCCAGCTCTGGCTAAGCCTGTGCTCAGAGGTGCTGGGGATGTGGTAGCCCGCTGACCCCGCAGGGAAGGTCCCGGCCTCGCTGCTTGATGCTTGCTCTGCCGGGGCAGTGAGCCTCAGCTCCTCCAGCTGCAGAATGGGGTGACAGCAGCTTCCCCCACTGCCTCCTAGAACGGGCCACCGTGAGTATTGAATGAAATAGTGGGATTTGATGCATGGGGTTTTAGGAAAATGCTTTTTCTCTCTCATGAAGAGTGCAGGGCTCTTGCAACCACAGGATATCTGAGGGGAAGGGTCTACAGAGAGCTGTATCTAACCCACTCACTGCCCAGACAGGGACACTGAGGCCCAAGGTGAGGCAGGGACTTGTCCCAAGTCAGAGGCAGCTGCTGGAGAAGCAGGAGTGAAGCCAGCATGTCCTGCACACTCAGGACCCCCACTTCAGCACCCTGTTCCACCAGGAGCTGAGTCTCAGAGGAAATGCTGGGAATTATCCATTCAACTAGCATGTTTGGAAAATAAGTGAAAAATCATAGATTCTCACTCCTGAACTGCAGGTGGTGATTTACAGCGCAGAACACCTGGGGCACCTGGGTGGCTCAGTGGTTGAGCATCTGCCTTCGGCTCAGGGCGTGATCCCAGGATCACTTCTGGGATCGAGTCCTGCATCGGGCTCCCCCCATAGGGAGCTTGCTTCTCCCTCTGCCTGTGTCTCTGCCTCTCTCTCTGTGTGTCTCATGAATAAATAAATAAAATTTTAAAAATAAAGTTTTAAAAATAAATAAATTGCAAAACACCCAATGAAAAATACTTAAACGTAACGGTTATAGACTGTACAACCCTGTAAACATACTGAAACCACTGAATCGTATGGTTTACATGAATGTATCTCTATAAAGCTGTTCAAAGTTACGCTTAAAAAAAAAACACAACGGAAAATCACTTCAGAGCTGGGAGGGATCTCAGAGATGCCATTGCTTCCAATGATTGGTTCTGTCCCTCTTCCCGTCCTGCAGATCTGGAAACTGAGGCCCAGTCAGGATTTGCCTAGGGCTACATGCGGAGCGGCGCTGGGGCAGCTCCTAGCATCCCTCCACTGCCTGACCACAAGCTCCCCCAAACCCCAGGGTTTAAAGCTCCAGACCTCGGCCAGGGATGTAACATTGGTGTCAGTGTGTGCTCCTGGCACATGCAAGAGTGTGCAGCCACTCTCACGGGGCGCAGGAGATGGGGGTGAGGGGTCCCAGGTCCCGTCCCACCAGGGTGGCCTCCGGCCCTGACAAGTGCCAGTGTGTCAGGCCAGGCAGGATCATGCCTTCCCTCCTCAACAGACACATGAGGAGACAGTCTGAGCCCCTGGAACAGCATGATCTTGCTTCTGGTGGGAATGCTGTCGGGGATCAGGCTGCCATTGCCTCCGGCAGCCCGAGGGCTAGCAGGACAGCACCCTCTCTCTTGCCACCCCGAGCACAGCACGGAGAAACCCCAGCCCAGGTGCTCCTGAGGGGGCCTGGGGCTCACCCCCTTCTCACGCCCCCAGGTCATCGTGCAGCGCTCGCTGTCCGCCAGGGACCTGAACCACGCCAAGGCAGGCTCCATCCTGGCCAGCTACCTCAAGATGCTGCCCATGGGCCTGATCATCATGCCAGGCATGATCAGCCGTGCGCTCTTCCCAGGTAGGACGGCCACGGGGCTGGGCCGAGGCTGCAGGGCGCCCACACTTCTGTGTCCTTGACCTACAGCAGTCACTAGGAGGAGAGGCAAAGCACAAATGTGGGCTGTTTCCTGGTCCAGGGGAGAAGGGAGGACAATGGTCCCCAGGGCCATAATCAAAGGGACTGGCATGGTAGTGGCTTGACATAAAAGGTCCAGACGAGGACCACTTGCTGCCATGTGACCTTGGGGGGCGTACAGGGCCATGTCTGTGCTGTCGGCAAACAGGGAGTGAACCACCCGACGGCAGGGCAGAGTCGACTCCCTGAAACTCGAGCGTCGGAAATTTCTGTATTTTAAGTACGTTTCCTCTCAGCTCCCAGCAGCCGGCTTCGGTTGCCCTTATGGGGTGCTGGGGCGGTGGGTCCCAGTGTTGGTAAGGACTAGTCACACGGCCCTGGGTGGTTGCTACCTACCCCCTGCCCTGGTGGGGACCCCTCGTGTGCAAGGACCCCCACTCACCTGTGTCTCCTTGTCCATGGAATGCGGAGCCTGTGTCCTCCTCGGTGTAGCTGCCTCTTCTCTCTCCCGACCTGGGGCCCACGGCAAACCACCCAGGGGTCCACCAAAGGTCCCTCGGGTCATGTGGGGAGCACTCAGCTGTCGGCGGGGGGTCTGGGCTGGCCCGTTGGCTACCTTCTCTGAGTGGCGCCTCTGGAGAGGAACCGAGCGCCCCCTCACCTCAAAATACTCGTCTGACACAGAAGAGGAGGCCGCCGAGGGCCGCTGGGGGCCAGGGCCGTGGCCAGAGCTGCCTGAGAGGCTGTCCTGGTCACTGAGGGTCACATAGTCATCATCATCTTCATCCTCCTCCCCATCTAGCCCGTTGGGGATCGCTGTTCCCTGGCCACCAGGGTCATCCTGGGTCATCAAAGACAGCTGCCTCTGGAGTGGGGCATGGCCTGAGCTCTGTGTCCGGGCGGGTGCGTGGTCTGTCCCATTCTGGGGCATCTTCTCTGCTGGGGTCTCCAGGGCCCAGTCAACACCGCCGTTGTCCTGGGCAAGTAGGTCTGCCACAGGGACCGTCCGGGGCTTGGGCACGGGGGGCTGTGGCTCGGGGTCCCCCTGGGAAAGGCCATTCTCAGCCAGGGCCCCGTCCTGGGGGGTACTGGGCCCGGGGGCGGGGCTGCAGTCCTGGCTTTGCCTCCACAGTTGGGTGCCAGCCTGGGATGTGTCTCGGATCTTGATGCGGTTCATCTGGCTGGGCTGGGGGTTCCAGATGTTCGGGTCAATGATATTGATGTAGCCCAGGATGTCACTGCCGGGCTCCGGGTCCGGCTCCACCCACGTGGGCAGGTATTCGAACATGTTGGCTCGTTCCAGGTGGAGCAGCCCAGGGTGGACGGGCGGGGGTGCCTCCGGGAGGTCTCCGGGCCGCTCAGCCAGTGCAGCGCCCCGCAGCCCAGGGGGCTTCTTCACCTCCTGCTTCTCAGAGGAGGTCTTGGCGATTTCGTCGGCGCTCTTGGCCTTGACCAGCGCGTACTTGGGGTTGACTAGCTTCTTGGCTACGGTGCCTGAGGGCACCAGCGGTACCACGGAGGGCAGCACGACGGGGTCTGGCTCTGGCTCCTTCTCCATGGGGATGCCCTTGAGGCTGACGCCATGGGACATGAGGTACAGCTCCTGGAACTGCCGGTCAAACATCTCCACCACCTGGCCGGATAGCACGGAGATCACGTTCCGGTCCGTCCTTGCAGCCGACCACGTGAAGCTGCAGCACAGAGAGACAGGGTGGCCTGGTCAGGCACACGGGGGACAGTTTCCTCCCTCCAGCCTTGGGTCCCCGGTCTAGGGAGTCCTCCCCAGCCACTGCGCACTCACAGGCCGGGGCTCATCGGACTGGTGATGGGGGCCTGGATGGAAACAAGTGAGCAGGGGCAGAGAAGAGCACGAGCCTTGGGGTCAGACCTGAGCCCGGGATGAGTCGCTTGTGCTGGGGCTGCCCCCACCTGTGTAACACAGCACAATGTGGCACTTCTCTGGGCTGTGCAAGCACCCTGTAAGGCCGGTTGCAGAATGCCTGGTACAGCCCTGCTGTCCTCCAGCACCCAGGCGGCAGGTGCTGGCACCAGTGGCTTTGCTGCGTGGATGGGCATGGCTAGGAACAGCCCCCACCCTGCTGGCCCCCATACAGCGGGGTTTGTGGAGCTGGGCTACGGCCATCCTGGCCCATCCTGGAGGCGGCTCTCTGAGTGACCGCCCTGTGTGCCTGGCCCACACCCACGTCCAGGCCAGTGACACCACTGGCTGGAACACCAGTCTTAAGGACAAAAGCTCTCCCCTGCCTGCTTCTGGAGATAGGCTGGCAGTGTGCGGGTGTGCCCCAGCCCTGCTTACACCTTAGCAGTTTGGGGACCAATGAACCGGAATAACCAGGATGTCATAAGGCAGGATTAAGGGCAGAAACCATCTGGGAACAGGAGCCACCTCTGTCCCCAGCCCCCAGAAAGTTCGAGAGTCACCTGTAGGAGCCACAGATGGCCCGGTCTCCATCCACGAACATGAACTTCTGGGCCAGGGCCCCCTTGAACTTGGTAGCTGACCGTGTGAAGAACTCTGTTCCCCCACTGCTCCGCACCCTGAGATTCTGTGTTGGGGGACAGGAGGCACAATTACATGTTGGCGGGGCTGGGGGTGGGCAGCAACCTCCGCCTGGGGCTCAGGAAGGGCTTCGGGGGGTTGGAGGGTTGGATGGGGAAGGACAAAGCAGTAAGCCCTGGAGAAAGGGGTGGTGAATGTGGGGACCACAGGGTCTGGCCCAAAGTGGAAAGTGGTGGGAAGACAGAAGGGGTGGGGCCAGCGACAAAGGGCGTGGCCTGCAGGGTGTCCACAGAGCAGACATGGGCAGGACAAGACCTGTGGGGCCAGGCCAGCACGGGACAAGCTGCTGCAGGGTCTTGAGCGGAAGGGGCATGCAGACGCATTTTAGCAAAATCCCACAGGGTCTGTGCGGCCGGGGAGGAGGGAGGCCTGCCTTCAGGCTTTCCCAGGGCAAGTAATCGGCCGGGCCTCTCTCCCAGTCTTCCCTACACGGCTGTCTCACTGTCCCTGCTGAGCCCCACTCACTGAGGACAGGGCTCCCAGCAAACTCCCCTACTTCCTGACAGGCCGCTCACTACCTGCTATGCACTCCTCACTGGGCTTGCACTGTGGCTCAGAGCCAGTTGGAGAGGCCCCCAGGGACAATGGGAAGGGGAACTAAGACCCAGAGGGAGGAGATGGAGTCTCCCAGGTGTCAGGAGCCGACCGGCCCACCCCTACCTCAGGTCCGAGCCGGGTAGCTCCTGCCTTTCTCTGGACCCCGGCCACGGAAGGGCCCTTCCTCCCTCCCCGGTGTGTGCTCTGTGGGGTACTGCAGGGCTGAGTGCTGGCTTCCCTTCCACCAGGAGGACTGGTGTCAGGCTGGAAATTTCATTTTGCACCCAAACCCCAGTGGGTCTGACACCTGCCCAGGGACGAGTCACTCCCTCCAAAAGGGATCCGTGCCAACTTCAAGCACGGGGCTGTTACCCCTTCTGTGCCTCCCATCACCCTCGCCCATTCACTGGGTTATTAAATGCCCACCTGTTCACGCACTCCTTGACCCCTGCCAAGACCCCAGCAGCAGACCAAGAGGGCTGTGACAAGGACCCCACGCTGGAGGTAGGGGAGGAGGCAGATGAGTAAGAACTATAGGTCTGGGGGGCTGGGGCAGGCTCCCGGAGGCGGCGGACATCTGGAAGACGAGGATGAGTGGGTCGGGTGGGAAGAGGGTGCAGCATTCCAAATACAGGAACACAAAGGCCTGGCAACAAGAACAGCATCTAGGACCTGCGAGGACTTTGCAGGAGGAGGGTGGGTGACAGAGCCTGCAGAGTGGGCTGGGCCACATACCGAAGAAAGACCCTACACCTGCTTAAGGGCCTGGCTCGGGCCTGGGGGCAGCAGGGAGCCAAGAAGGGATTCAGGGCAGGAAGTGACCGGGTTAGAGCTGCCCGTAAGAACAGTCCTGGCATCCAGCAGGGGGGGGTGCATGAAGTGAACAGGGAGCAGGAGGTGGATAGGGAGGGGGCTTCTGTGGGTGAGGGAGTGCATGGCCTGAGTCAGGGCAGGGGTAACGGGGAGAAGGGAATGGGTGGGTCTGAGAGGGCCAGAGCCTACCCTCCACTCGGGCCCCAGCCCAAGGGCGCTCCTTTGTCTGTTCCTTCTGTGAAGGTCCCAGACACTCTCAGCCAGGCAACCCCGGGGCAGTCACCAGACATTATGGGGCGGGCATGGATGCCCACCTGGCTGTGTGGGGAGCAATCATTTGTTGCCGGGCCGAGCCCAGGAGGTGGATAAACCTCTGCTCCCAGGGCTGGCTCCCCTGCCGCCCCCCCCCCCCCCCCCCCCCCCCCCCCCGGCTGCCTGTCTCTACACTGCCAGCTCAGCAGGAAGCTGGCCATGACCCAGGACAATTAGTGCTCGTGACTTTGTACCCAACACCGAGCATGCTCGAGTGGAACAAAGATCCTGGAGGTGGTTTGAGGCCTTCCCCTGTCACTGGGGCCCGACCACAGCCCAGCTCTGTGGCTTCTATGGGCTCCTGGCCCAGAGCTCTGCATGCTGGGGCCATAGGCCTCTCTGTGGGCTAGAAGAGCTGCCAGCTCTCACCAGCATCTGCCCCCGTCCACCCCAAAGCCTGTCCCCATGAAGGGCTCCGGTCACCACCTGTATCTCAGAGTGACTCAACTCCATGTAACAGGCAGCCTTGGCTCCGCCAGATTTGCTGTGTGACTACGAGCAGGTCTCTAGCCCTCTCTGGGCTTTAATCATCCTGTCCATATGCTGTGGCCTCAGACTCTAAGACCATCCAACCCTGGGGCCAGCAGAGGGTGGGGGCTCGTGGCAGCACCCCAGCCTGTTTGTTCCTGGGTGGGCCCCGCCCCATGGGGCCTGGCCCCGATGAGGTAACGTCTCAGGAGTCAGGGCTCAGGTGAGCAGAGGTAGAGGATCCCACAAAGCCGCATTGTCTCTGAGCCCTGCGGCACCCCCAGCAGAGCATGTAGCAGGCAGGGTGGAACACAGCCAGGCTGGCCCAAGTGGGGCGTCTGGGGTAAGTCCCTGGACCCTGTGGACTCTCAATTTCCTCGGGCATGAAAGATAGGCAGGGAGGCCCTGAGAGGACATCCGGGGAGGATGGCTGGGCAGTGCTCCATCCGCTCCTAGAGTAGCTTTTCTCCTGACCACATAGAGGGCACAGCGGATGGCCACTAGGCCATGGCAGTGCCCTGCCTGCACCCCCACTGGGGCTCTTATGCTCACAAAGAAGAACCTGAACCTGTCCCAAGCTGGCCAGGGCCCCCCACTGGGGCAGAGTGGGTCACTGAGCTCTGGTCATACATGGTTCTAGTCCTAGCACCAAATGGATGCCAGCTGAGCCTCCTTGGGCCTCGGTTTTCTTACCTGGGAAATGGGCCTATGCAGCCTTCTGCTTCAGGGCTGCTGTGAGGACTAACCAGAGCCAGGATACGAGTGGGTAAGGGCCGGCAAGGTGCCCTGCACTCTGGGTGCTCCATGAATGAGGTGACAAAGGACGTGACAGCACATGCAGTGTGACAGGGATGGATGGGATCTCTTCTGCTCGGGAACCAAGAGGGGATTGACACAGAGGACCTGGAAATACCTAGTGTGTCATGGCTCAGGCCCAGGGAGGTCAGGACTGTCAGCCAGATGTGGGAGGGGGAGCGACTGGCCCGCAGTCTCCCAGCCCATGGGGTCTCGCCCCCAGCTGTACCATGGTGGCTCTCTGCAGGGGCCTGAGGGGGAGTGGGGAGGCCCAGAGATGCACCCCGATTGGGCCTGGCTGGTGACAGTGAGATCAGGCCAGCTACCCTGGCTGCAGGGGACACAGAGCCCATATCCGGTGTTTGGGGCACCCAGCCAGCCTCTGCTCTCTTCCAAAGGACCCGTTTCACCCCCTGTAACCGGGGAGTGGGAGCAACACCGGGGAGTGGGAGCAACACCGGGGAGTGGGAGCCTCGGCACTGCTGACATTCTGGGCCAGGTGGTACCCTGTGGTGGGGCCTGACCCGTACACTGCACCCCACATTTTTAACGGCGTCCTTGCCTTCTATACACTGGACACAAACAGTAGCCTCCCAGTCACAACCATTAAAAAAAGCCTCCGGACGTTGACAAATGGCCCGGGCCAGGGAGACCCTGCTTGGTCGAGAAGCGCTGCCCCATGCCCTGAGTCCATCACAGAGCCAGGCCAGGATCAGAGAAGGCAGGACAGCAGCAGGGGAAGCCGTGGGCACTGGAAGGGGGCCAAGGCTGGCCTGGCCAGCGTGTAACCGGAGCCACAGGCTGAACCCCTGCATCCTCACCATCGTGGCTATGGTGGCTGGAGTTTCCTTGTTCATCAGAAACAGGTCCAGCCCTAGCCCAAGTGGCCGCTGGTTTTTCCAGTTTGGCAGCACAAAGTCTACCTTTTCAGATCAGCCAGGCATCTTGCTGCTCCGGTCCTGTCTCAGCGATGAGGCTCAAGGCCTGGCCTAGCCTTCCCCTGCTCCCCCTGCCTCTGGGGCATCCATCAGTACTGAGTCTCAACCCAAATGTGCCTGGGTCACCCGGTGTAGCATTGTGTGGGGACAAGAGGGCTGGCTCCTTTTCTCTGGGCCTATTCTCTGCTTGGAACATGGGGCACTCATTCCCACACTCCCTGCCTGAAGGAGTCAGGGGCCAGCTGAGCCAGCAGGCTGGGGTGCTGGGGGCGACTGGAACCCTCACACCCGGAAGGGGGACTGGGGCATGGCCTTCACCCCACCTAGAAAGCAGGAGTTGGCTTGGGCCAAGCACCACAGCAGCTGTCTGCAGAATGTGCTCGGTGAGCTCAGAGGTCAGGAGGCATGAGGCTGGGGTAGGGGTGGTTGATGACCCCAAGGTGAGGGGGTGAGGGTGGCCTCTAGCCCAAACACACTTTGAAGGGGAAGGGGAGCCCCTTGGCTCTTAGATAAGCACAGAGGTCTCACGAAGAAGGCTCACTAAGTTCCTTACTGAGTGCCCTGCCCCCACATGGCTTCCTTTTACCCTTTGGAGCAGCCTTGTCAAACACATGGTGGAAATTCCCATTTTTCAGAAAGGAAATTGAGCCCCAAAAAGATTCAGTATCTCGGCTCAGGGTCCTAGTGCAGGCAGCAGAGCTAGGGCTCAGGCTGGGCTCAACCTTGTGGTCACAAGGATGACCCCACCAGGCACAGCCTGTACCCCGGGGCCCGTGTGAGCTGAGGGCAGGTCACTGCAGAGCTGGGCAGGGGCGGCGGGTGGCCGAGGGCGGGCCCAGGGATTACCGGCAGAGGAAGTGCTCCTGAGACAGGTCCGGGCCCAGCTGGCCCGCGGGCAGGGAGGCAGGCCGGGCAGGCAGGCCCTCAACAAGGTGACACTTGGCCAGGGCCAGGCGCACAGGCGCCTCTGGCCACCTGCCTGGGCTGTGGAGGGGGCGGGCTCAACAGCAAGAATGGGGAGGTCAGGGTCATCCACTCTTTCCCACGAAGGTGCCCGCCCCTGGGCAACGTCAGGGCAGCCCCTGCACCGCCCCCAGAGCAGGGCAGACTGTGCCAGGGACCCCTGGTCTGAGCTGCGCCGCCCATGCTTCGGGCTATGCGCTCATCTCAAGCTGAAGTGGGGGGGGGGCGGGGGAGGCCTCGCCACACCCTCCCCTGCCCCGGGCCTGGGGTTTATAATTTCTTGTTATTGCCAGCAGCCGCGTAACTCCCCTGGGCGCACAGAGCGCTTTTACAACCATTGTCTCCTGTAATTTAATCCTCCGACAGCCTATGAGGCATCATTATGGCCACGAGGCGCTGGAGGCTCGGACAGGTGGAGCCACGTGCCCAAGTCCCACCGTGGTCGGCCCGGGGAGCCCCGTGGGCAGCCTCGGCCAGGCCGTCGGGCACCAGGCACCTCTGCCCTCCTCGTCTGTGCCAACTTCCCCTCAGTGGCTGTTAGTTTCAGCTGCTGACTTGGCGGGATGCCTTTGGGCAAGTCCCAGCCTCCCCTGGCCCGAGTCTCCCATCTGCCCCGTGGGAGCCTAGGCCGGGTGGCCTCCAGCCCCTCCAAAGCTGCAGGGCTTCACACTGGGGAGCAGAGGGCAGGGTGGGAGGGCTGAGGGGCAGGAGCCAGCCCCCCGGGGAGGGAGCCGGGCAGCCCAGGAGCCACTTTCTCAGCCCAATCCTGCCTGCCTCCAGCTGCCCCAGAGCTCCAAAAGCTCTGAGCAGACCTCCCCCTGAGTCTTCCCTACTGAGAAGAGGCAGCCAACAGGGGCGAGGCCAGTCCTGTGTTTAGATCCCACTCAGCATGGACAAGCCCATCTCCTGCTTCTTCCTCCTGCACCAGGAACACATGGGTGCTGAGCCAAGTGACATGTATGAAGCACCCACCGGCTTTGTGGCCAGGGTGCAATGGGGTGGGCCAGGGGTTCTCTGATCTGCTGCCCACGGGGCAGAGGCTTTTGCAGTCACCTTTCAAACGACGCCTTGTCCACACTCTGGACCTCTCCAGCATGAGCTGTCTGCCCCGGGAGTCTATTCCCGGTGCTAATTACATGGCGGGCAGCGCGGCGGGTGAGTGTGGGGCTTGGGGTCAACCCACCAGGGAGACCACATGAAAATGTCCCAACAGCCACAGACTCACCGCCCGGAGAGCTCATACCCACTTAAAAGGACTCAGCTGGGATGGGTGGGCACACCTGACAAATACTGACAAATTACAAGCGCAGGAACCCAGCCCCTTGTTAACTAGCCTGGCGTCGCCCCTTCTATGTTCAGATCACAGGCCAGAAGCCCACGGAAATCTGACCTGTCAGAGGTTGGGGCTCAGCCAGGGAGCTCTGGTGCTGGCCCCCATGCCCCTTATGCTTAACTTACTGGCAGTGAATAACACCTGGACAAGAGCCTCAATTTCCTTATTTCCAAGATGGGGACAACTGCCCTATCCCACTGGGTCATCATGTGGAGTAAAGAATCATGTAAAGTCCCTAGGATGGGGCCGACCCCAGCCAAGTGCTGTGAAAATATTTGCTGCTGTCATGCATACTGATCTGTACTCTCTGGGGAGCGTCCTGCACACAGCAGGTGGCAAGTCATAGCTGAGTGGAAGGAGGGCTCCTCCTGCCCCCCAACAAGGGATCCAATGCAAGGTCTCAGAGTGGAAAAGCCCAGCCACAGTGGCCTCTCTGCCCCTCTGGGTGGACCAATGAGATCCTGGAGCCCAGGGACAGGAAGTGATGGGCTCAAGGACACGCAGCAAAGCGGCTCTAGGAACCCAGGCTCATCCCGATCCCTCCACCTCTGCTCCATGGTGTCCTTCCCTAGAAAGCCCTTTTTGCTCTCCATCCTCAAATTTATTTCAACTCTGCAGTCCTCAAGGAAGGCTTCCCTGACCTCAGCCCAAGGAAGCTGCCTGCCTCTGTCAGAGCCAGATCCTAAACCCTAAACGTCCTGGGTGGACGTCCTACAGAGACAGATTCCAGCTAAGCCCCCAAAATAACTTCCTGGGAGTCAGAGCCCTCCAGGTAGGATGGGAGCTGCTGGAGCCAGGGTGGTGAGCACCCCATCACTGGAGGAGTGCAAGCAAAGACAGGTAATCAATGTGGCATATGGGCTGCTTTGAAATAACATGTGATACAGCACCTGTGGAGGCCCCAGCACTGCATCAGCCCTTAGCCAATGTTTGTCTTATCTCTGCCTGCCGGAGGCAGTGTCCTGTCCCTCTGGGCGGTCAGGCAGGGGTCAGGTGATCACCTGGCAGGAGGCCCTAGGATTACTGAAACTCTCTGTGCCCTACACAAGGCTCCATCCCTAAAAGAGAGGTGCTCCAGGTGTTTGTGGACTGACCAACCAGCCAGCTCACCTTGAGGTGCCCCAGATGCATGCGGGCCCGCTCACACATGTGCAGGAAGTACTTGACGTTACTCTCGTCCACGATGATGTACACGGCGACCTTCCTCTTGAAGCCGGCATCCAGCAGGTCCTTGAAGATGTCCACATCGGTGAACATGTCCATGACCACGGCGATCACCTGTAAGCGGGAAGAGAGCAGAGCTGTCGGGTGGCGCGGCAGTAGGGACAGATGCTGCAGCAGGACACGCAGGCCTCCCACACCCACCACTGTCTCTGGGCGCCCCCTGCTAGCCCTGCTCCCCCTGCCTCAGCACTGGGACTGGGAAGCAGTGGGCTGGGGGCTTCTCTGGTCCCGAAGTTCTAGGGTGCACTCAGCATGTAGGATACAAGGTTCTAAATAGGTGAAACAGCCTGGAACAGTGGGAATGGAGCAGCAGTCATCGTGCCCGCTGTCTCTGTAATACAAGACCACAGAAAACAAAGCCCAGTATCCTGGCCAACGAGGCCTGTGGTGTGGAGGGAAGAGACCGTGCCGTGGAACCAGGGACGGTCTGCATCCTGAGGCCTGGAGCGTGTGGGGCTGGCCCCCAGGGCAGCCTGCCTTCCTGTAGGCACCAGGGCTCCGCACAGCAGTGCCCTGTTTCAGCTCCTTCCTGGGTTGCCTTCCTGAACCACAGCAGCCCACACCATCCCTGGTGCCTGCCACACTGGGATGCCGAGTTGAACCAGATGTGTCAACAGCCGGAAAGAGGCAGCAGCTGGCACAGCCGTTCATGAAGCCACTTGTGTGTCCCTGGGCTGCTGTGGACTTTGGCAGGCTTTCCGCCACCACCTCTTCTGTCTCTCTGAACGGAGCCCAAACCAGCATATGTTCTTCCTATTACGTGACATCTGTCCCCACAGCCGCTGTCCTCCAGCCTCCTGGACCTGGCTCAGGGTGGGGCCCCAGAGGTCAGAGTGCATCTGCCCCAAGCCCTAGCCCAGCGTGGGCAGTGACAGGCCCCAGGCCTGGCAGGCCTGAGTCAAAGCACAAGGACTGAAGAGGCATCAGGAGAGAACAGGGTGGTTGGGATGAGCTCACCTGCCTTGCTCACCTTGACAGCAGCAGATGTTTGGGACCACTGGGGCTCAGTGACCATCTTAGGCCCTCTCTTGTCCTCCCCCGCCCCCGTCCTATGGGGCAGCAATGGGGAGCACATGGGACCAGGGTCTGATGCTGACAACCAACGCAGACATCCAGCCCCTCCAAACATTTGAGACTGGCGCCACTGCCCTGTCCAGGGCCTGAGGACCTTCTGAAGAAGACTTAAGAAGCTGAGGACTAGGCCATACAATGAGCTGGGAATGGTCAGGCTAGAGCCTACCCAGGCCAGCTAGGGAGCCAAGTACACCCCCACACCCACCCCCACCATGAGGGCAGCCTGACAGGCTCCCCTCACTGGGACCTGTAGGCACAGGGTGAAGGACAGGCAGCCTGGGGCCTGCTGGGGATGAGTCTGCACGCTGTAGTGAGCTCAACCCTGCTGGCCCCCGCAGGCCCATCTGGGCTCCTCCTTGCCCTGCCCTGCCCTGGACACCATCTGTGTGAACCCGAGCAAGACACCCAGCTTTCTCTGGTACAATGGGTAGTGTAGCCACAGGACCAGCCGGGCTCCGGGAGGCAGGGGCCCAGGATTGACACCGTACTCTGGGAGACAACCGCTTGCTGGCTTTGAGTCTCCAAAGGGCTGTTTCAGGTGGGGCAGGGGGAGCGGGTACAGTCTATGAGAGCCAGGGCCAGCAGGGGGAAGCTGACAGAGGCAGACGTTGGTGCCACTTGAGGAGGTGCTTTCTGACCCCAAGTGAGGCAGAGGTCTTGATAGGGAGTGAGCTCCCCATCCCAGGAGGTGTTTAAGGAAAGGCCAGAGACTGCTTGGCAAGGAGGTGGATGAGGGGGCAGATGAGCCAAAAGGACAGCTGGGTAGGCTCGCACAGCCTTTGATTTCACCCGTTGAGTGTGAGGAGATCCTGAGGTGGGAGGGGTGGAAGCAGGGCCTTCCTTGCTGGGGACTCCACAGCCCCAGAGTCAGCCCGGGGATCCCCTTGCATAAGGCTCTCCTGGAGGCAAACAGCTTCATGTGCCACCCTGGGAAGGGCACAGCCGACACGTTCCTCCCTGGAGCAGACATCACATCACCTCTTGCTTCCTTGTCACCGCTGCCCCCGACCAGATTGGTCAGGCCTGCTTCCAGAACCGGCCTGCCATGGCAGATGGGGACTTGCCCTGGGCCTGGGCTGGGGGACGTGCCCCAGCAGAACCCAATGTGTCCTTCCCCACATCGCCCTCTGGCAGGTAGGGTAGTGGATCCAGGGATCATCTGTCATTGGGCTGATCTGTTAGGGCCCGCCCCCCCCCCCCCCAGTGGATCCCTCATGGGGTCCTGGGGCCGAGCGCCGGTTCTTACCAGCACTGGGTTAGGTTCCAGGGGCGGTCAAAGGAGAGCTTGTCACAGGTGATGCTGGGAGCGAGGAGAGGGGACGATGGAGGGGAGGCTGGGATCTGGAGACGGTCCTTGGCCCATGTGTACAGGGAATGCGCTGGGGAGAGGTGGGTGGCCTGGGTTCTAGCCCTGAAGCTCGAGCCTCATGACCACAGGAACCAGTGTGTCCACATGAGCAGCTGGACCAACTGCCAGGTGCCAGGGGGCGGGGGTGGCAGGCACATGTACATCCTGTATTCCAGGCCTGGCGTCACTGGGGAACTGATGGGGCAGTGCCAGCCCCACAACACAGAACCTACCCAGATCGCACAGACCAGCTCCCAAGGGAAGGAAGGTCCCCAGGCCTACCCGTGTGTCTTACTGATGGGAAAGGCCTTCCCTGAAGATGCGGGCACAGAACCAGGAGCAGCCAAATACCCATGCCAACCCTCCTGTTCCCAGCGCCCAGGGGCAGCACGCTGGGGGCAGCAGGAGGATGGCTGTGCCCACATAGGGGGCCAGCCACACAGTATAGACATGGATGAGCCTGGAGCAGAGGGAAACACGGCACTGGTGTAGGAACTGGGCTTGAGTGTGCTCTATACCCAATGACCCCACGTCTCTTGGGGGTGCAGTGACGTGCAAGCTCCCAAAATATGTTTGTCCCATGATTCCCCACACCCCCTCTTCTCATGCCTTCCCCAATCCAACAGATCCCATTCTGCCCCTCTCTCTGGCCTCCTGGCATCCCACCAACCTCCTGATGGTTTCGGAATTCCTGAAATATCCTTGGGAAGGGTGGACACCCACCCCCATGTCAGAGACGCAGACAGTGGGGCCCGGAGGAGGATGAGATGGGCTCCAGGTCCCACCTTGAACCAGTGGGATTGTGGACATGGGTCTCTGGCATAGGCCTCCCACATCCTGCCCTGAGCACTTCCATCACCCAGGCGGCTACTGGGGGGACTTGAACAAGGCGGGCAGTGTCTGACCCACAAAAGAGCAGCCTTCCCCCAACCGTGGCTGCAGTCTCCAACAGACACAGCCTGAAGCCTCATTAAACCTACTACTGGTGCTGCTGGCATGGGCGGGGGTGCAGGTGTATCTACCCCCCATCCTCCCTGGGGCCGCCACAGCAGTCTGAGCCCCTGGATGAGGGTAGAGTGGACCCAGAGTTGGAGCTCTGGGCTGCAAGCCAGGGGAGAGCCATGTTTCTCTCTGGGTCTGTCTCCTCATCTGTAAAATAAGGAAGGTGGATGGGAGGCCCAAGGTTGGACCTGCCAAGGGATCCCTGACTCCCTGGGCCCTGCCTGGATGCCCTGACTGGCTGGTCTGGGCCAGCTAGAGCATCTTGCTGTGCCCACCACTGCCTCACCCCCGCTCTGCACTACCCACATGGGACTCCCAATGCCTTAGTAGGTTGACACCCAGCCTACAGCTCCCAGCACCCCTAGGGCTGTCTCTTAGATTCGCTGTGACCACAGAATCCACTCCTGGAGCATAAGTGTGCTCACCGGACCAGTGGGTAGAACAGGCCCGTGAAAGTGCTGGGTGAAGAAGGACGGGGTGAGATGGCCCAGGGGTTCCACATGCAGCTGGAGGACCGCTGGCCATGGGCCCAGCCTCAGTGGCCATATCTCTCCCCAGGGGGCCCTGACCCTGCTGATTCGTCCCTGAAACGCCTAGCCTGGAGCCACACACGCTCATCTCTTGCCAGGCCTCCTTCCTCTCCTCCTCTATGCTGACAATTCCTACCATACTTCAAAGCCCAATTTAAATACCACTCCTAGCTCCTCTCTAGCTCCTCTCAGCCATCTGGGCAGGTATCATTTCTGCATGACACAACAACCTACCAAGTGGCGTGCTGTCTCCTGAAGGTCTGGACTCTGAGAGCCAGGCCAGGGTCCAGCAGGTTCCTAGTGGGAGCTCCAGCTGTAATACCTGCTCCACCCTCCCTGGCCACAGAGATGCGTGGAGGAGGCTCAGAGAGAGGTGGCCCTGGTTTCTCCCCTCAAAGTGTCCCAGAACAGATGAGGGAGACAGACACACCCCACCCACCCTGAAAACCAAAAGCAGCCACAGACACAGGGCACAAGCACACAAGTCCCTGGCCCTCCACGGGCATTGTTTCACCACCTGGAAAGTGTAGGAGATGAAGAGGACCCCAGTGCTCTGGGTCTGTCACTCTAAAGCTCTGGTGGACACCCAGATGATGGAAGCATGGGCTCCAGACTGTTCTGGGAAGACGTGTGACCTTGGGCAAGAGCCTTAGTCTCCTGGGGGATGGGGGCAGTAATAATGCACACCTGTACAGCTGTTGACGGGAAGAGTGAATTAGTATAGGCACAGAGCCGGCTCAGGGCCCGAGGGCCTGTGCTCAGCAGGTGCCGCTTTTCCTGCCTCTTCGTCACACCAACTGGAGTCTTGACCCACCAGACCCACAGCACCCTCCACAGTGGACAGGCCAGGAATCATCACTCACCATCCCCACTCCCCTCCTGCTGGAAGGCTGGTGCCACCTGGTAACTCATGGGGATGACACAGAGAATGGTATAGACCATTCTAAGTTTTGGAACAATAGCCATAACATCCTGGATTCGACTTCCACTTCCAGTCACAGCAGAATAACAGAGCCTATACTAACCTTCCTGCCTTAATAATTGAAAAAAACAAAAAACACACACAGAGGCAAAAATCTATGAAACTGGGCCAACAGGAT